TTTGCCCCCACTCATTTCCCTTTTCCTTGTGCTCACATTAATTCCTTTGTTTTACTGAATAAAGTGAGTAAAATTTATGGCGAAGGGCCAGCCTACCTTGATGGTATACACAAAGGAGCTGGAGAATATACAAGGTACGATAAAACAATTAATTCCAGAGTCATACAGGAGAGCTAGGAACCCACCACAGTCAACATCCACCACCCCAGTTCCATTCCTTAGGGGGGTAAGCAGCAAAGACAGATACAAGCACTTTGCTGTGGCTGCTCTAACCCACAAGTCCCTCCTTACAGTGGCCTCTTGAACAAGCCGTAGAACCATCACCAGACAACACAAGGTCAACTAGCTCTTGGCCTTCTACCATCACTCTGAGCTAAAATAAACCTCTTTTCTTGTCAGCTACCCAGCCTCTGGAATTTTTGTTATAGTAACAGAAAATGGATATATATATATATATATATATATATATATATATATATATATAGTCATTAATATTGCAATTTTTTCATATTCCCATTGATCATTTGGAGAAATGTCTATTCGGGTCTTTTGCCCTTTTCAACTTTGTTGTTGTTGTTGTTTTGAGATAGGGTCCCACTATGTAATACCAAGTAGCCTGGAATTTGCTAAATAGACAGGGCTGGCCTTGAATTGATCCACCTGTCTCTGTCTTCTGAGTGCTGGGATTACTTTAAATTAGGGTATTCACCTTCTTGCTGTTGAGCCATTTTAGTCTCATATAGTTTGGATATTTGCTCCTTAGCAGATAAGTGGTTTTTAAGTATTTTATTTTGTTTCATGTAGATTTTAGGTTGTGTCTTTGATTTTTGTGGAGAATATTATCAGAGTTTTGATGAAGAGATCAGTGAGCAAACAAATTGTTTGGGGGGGGGGGTCTATGGACACTTCAACAATATTAAAATTCTTCCCATTCATGAAGACAGGGCAGTTTTGCAGTTTTCTGTGTCTTTGACTGCCTTTATCCTTAGGACTTTTATTTCTTTGGCAAAATTCATTCCTAATTATTTGACTTTTTTGGTTTATTTCTACTGTAATTTTTTTTTTCAGATAGTTTGCCGGTATAGAGCAATACTATACATTTTCACTTGTTGATTTTGTATTCAGTAACATTACTCAATACAATTATAAGTTCGTTCAGATTTTAAGTGTGTGTGTATTTATGTATGTATACATGCAAGTGTGTGTATGCATGTGTTAGTTTGTCTTTGTGTGTCTGTGTGCATGTGTGTGTCTCTGTGTGCATTTGTGGCCATACACTGTCACTCTGTATGTGGATATGAATGGCACATATTTAGGGTTGTCTCTTTTTTTCTTTTTGTTTTCTTTTTAATTTTATAAAAAATCTTATTTTACATACCAACCCCAGTTCCCTCTCCCTCCTATCCTCCTGCTCCCCCCCCCACGTTCCCCTCACCCCATCCTCAATCCACTCCTCCGAGAGTGTGAGACCGTGCATGGGGAATCAACAAAGTCTGTCATATCACTTGAATCAGGACCAAAGCCCTTCTTCCTGTATCTAGGCTGAGTAAAGTATTTATCCATATGAAATTGGCTCCAAAAAGCCAGTTCATGCCCTAGGGATAAATACTGGTTGCCCTGATAGTGGCCCAACAAACTGCCACCTAACTGGACTAGAGAGTTCAGAGGCTAAAGGCTAGGCTCACAACCGAAAATATAGGGTTGTCTCTTTAAAAGATTATGGATTTTAATTTATATTTTGCCATTTTATTAATTTCCAAGTAGATGGTCCTTTCTCCCTGTTATCTAACTCCACTGGCTAGGACTTCAGCTACTGTATAGAACAGAAGTGGCAACATTAGGCATTCTTGTGTCTCTGACCTTCAAACAAAAACCCTTCAGCTTTTTATCAAGGAGTATGTCAGCTGGCACTTCTATAGGGCCTTTATTCAGGCCTACTTTTTGTCTGGATACTTCTATCCCTACTTGAAGGAGAGCAGTGGTCTTATTACAGTGCTGTGCTTTTCCAATTCCATTAAACAAAATTTTGAGACACAAACCATGTTGTATGGGCCAAGCTGAAAGACCTCTGCTTCTGTGACTCCTCACAGTCAGTAATTTACTGCCAACTTCAAGTTGTAAATGTTTGCAGAGTTTTGGGGGGGGTTTAAAAAATCTGTTTCCCCCGTAATTAAAAAGTAATGCAAAATTATATGTAATGTAGCAAGTGCCAAGAGGGACAAAGAATAGGAGAAATATTGTCCTTAATTCTTGTTACTTAATTTGGCTACTATTTTGCTGTGCCTTGCTCTAGAGGCACATAGTATTTTTACTGTGGTGCTGGGAGAGAACTCCTCCTGTGCTCTGCTCACAGGCATACAGGGTGTGGATCTACAAACTTTTGAGTGAATATATATATATATATATATATATATATATATATATATATATAATTTTATCTTGAGCTTCTCAGGTGAGGCACAAGCTGAAAATGAGTCACAGTGGAATGCCTACAGGTGCCTTAAATCCAGCCTTAATCTCTGTCTCCTGCCCTACTGCTCTGAGCAATCCTTGTCCTTCTGTCTGAGACTAACCACACTGGTACCACCTGTCATGTCTTGTTCTTTATATAATACCCAGCCTGTTTTCTGATTCTGGACTATGTTCCTCACTTTCTCTTACCCCAAACTACTTCTTGTTATCTACCTTAGAGACTTGACAGAGGTCCCATTAGCATTCACTGGACATGATGCTTGATCAAACACAATATACATAGCTTTTTTTTTTTTCTTTTTTTGGAATGAATGAATGGATTTTGAATATTCTCTTGCTTGCATTGAAATCTGTTCTGGATTTGAGATATAATAACACAAACCCATGTTTCACTTGTCTTTCTTCTTTTTACTTGGATTCTGTGTCTGATGTTATACTGTAATCTTGCATATGACATATCTAATCTTCATATTGGTCTCCCAAAGCACTTGTTGTCTTCTCTTCCTTACGTATGAGGAACTAAGGGTTTTTGGGTACATTAGTTCCTCTTGAGTCAGTGGCTGACCTCCCTTCTTGGTGGGCTCACTCCTAGAAGCACCCATTTCTGGTCTCATTCTGAACTTCCTAGATGTGTTTGTTCTCACCTTCCTGTAACTGTGATCCTATCCCAATCACTTACCTCATCTCTGTCTCAATCCAGGTGGTACAGAGCAATGAGGGAGGAGAAATCCTGAGAGGTTTGATAATGTCTTTTCATGAGAGGTTGAAGCCAGTTAAAGGAGGTGGAAAAACCAAAGGAATCTCCACATTTGGGATAGGTAGCAGAGACACCTCACTCCTAGAAATCAGGCTGGTATTCCTGTGAGCAGTCACTGGCTGACTCCGAACTCCATTTTCCCCACATTTTCTATGAACACAAACATAATCTCATTTTTTTTTGAGACAAAGTCTCATGCTGTAGCTCAGGTTAACCCCAAATTTCAGCAATTCTCATGATTCAGCCTCCTGAATGCTGAGATTATGGGCAGGAGCAACCACAGCTGACTTGTGAGCATAGGGTTATCTGGCTCTCGTGGTTGCCAGCTCATGGGTTACATGCTACAATGTATGTGCTTTGTAAGAAGTAGTCATAGCTGTGGCAGTACTGTTGGCATGATCAAATACTTTACTGTGGGAGTCAGATTGTAAATAGAGGTGCTGACTTCTTGAGTAGAGTATTCTTATTGCAGGGGCCCTAAATTATGGCTCATGGCCAACGCTGGTTGGCCTCCTGTTTTTATATAACTTGTGAGCAAACAATATTTTTTATACTTTAATTTTATTTTAAAAGAAAATTACTATGACTTATAAATATTGCATAAAATTCCAATCTCAGTGTCTATAAATATGGTTCATTAGAACATAGCTGAGCACATTTGCTTGTCAACCATCCTTGGTTGCTTTTGCATTGCAGCAACAGAACTGGGTAGCTATGAAAGGCTGTAGCCATGTTGAGTTCATATGTTTACTTTGAGAGTATAAGAAAAAGAAGAAGCTTAGTGTCCTCCCTTTCTACTTATTGAAGCTTCCAAAGAAGCTTCTTTTTTTGTCTTTAATTTGTGTGCTGATTTTTTTTGCTTGATAATAAAGATGAAGATACAGTGTCTCTCCCCACTAATATTTTTATGTGTAAGTAACATGCTAATTGAAGCACTAATATAACATTAAAAGTCAGCGAAGGGGGAAATGCCCATCTCCAATTTCAAGTCACCTCTCATACTTTGAATAATAGTTTTCTCTTCCTTTTAAAACTCCAAATGGTTGTCATCAGAACTTACAGAAAATGACCTAGTTGGTCGTCATTAAGCCCTTAACTCATGATGCTTCTATTATTAATGGTAGTCATTGTAGAGTAGTGAGTTCTCAGCCCCATCCTTTCTTCTTGAAATATAGTTACAGTGCTTCTCTTTGGAGCCAGATCTGGGCTGCCTTGCTGGACCCTTGTCCTCTCCTTCCGTGTTCTCCACTATCTGATGTACTTCAAGTGAAAGACTCTCACTGATCCTAAGAACTGAGAAAAACTATCACAAGAAACAAATGAGCACAGCACCTTGAGAGTGGCCCCCTGCCCCTTTTCTCTCTTGTCTCTCCTAGTGCCTTGAATAGTATATAGACCTCAGCTAGCATACTAAAATATTCTCTATTCATGTAAAAATGACATGGCGAGTGCTTTTGCTCTCTGTTTCATTGCTAAATAAGGGGCGTGGTGGTACATACCTTTAATCCCAGCACTCTGAAGCAAAAATTGACAAATCTCTGAGTTCAAGGCCAGCCTGTTCTACAAAGGGAGTTCCAGTACAGCCAGACCTATGTAGAAAGACCCAGTCTCAGAAAAAAAAAATAATTGCTATAATTTTGTTAATTTTGTTGAGAATTTTAGTATATTCTATGCAAAAAATGTTCAGTGTATTAAATTAACACGTTAATGCAACACTGTGAAATATAAGTAAGAAATTGCTATTTATATCTGATTCTCTTATTTTTCCTAGTGAGAAGTTGGATGGAAAAGCTGAAAGACAAGGTAAGGAGAATCTATTCTTCCATTTGACCTCTACAGAGGGGCAAATAAAAGATCTGTGAGGCAGTGGAGCTCCCACAGGTGACCATTCAGGAATTCACATGTTCACATGCATATGCACATGTGCATGTAATAAGTGGCCATAACTTTGAAGGATAGCAGTGAGGGCATAAGAGAGTGGGGGGTGGGGGAGGGAAGGGATGAGTGTTGTAATTAAATCACAATAATAATAATAACGGAGCTTCAGTTTGCTGTTCTGGACCTCCAGGAGGAGAGGTATTGCCTTCACTGGGAACACAGGAGACAGACTCCTTATTCTCTGGAGCCTCAGCAGCTCTCTTTCCCACCTCCATGCGTGTGTGTGTGTGTGTGTATGTGTGTGTGTGTGGTATATGTCCATATATACAAGTAGGTGTGGGTGCTTATGCACGTATGGAGGTCAATAGATTGAGTCAGGTGTCCTCTTCTATTACCCTCTACCTTGTTTTTTTGAGCAGTGTCTCTTACTGAGCCCAGAGCTGGTGGCTTTGGGGTATAATGGCAGCCAGCAAGCCCCAAAAATTCTCCCATCTCCACTCCTTAGAGCACCAGGGTTACAGGCATTTGAGAGACCTGACATCCAAATGCAGTTCTGGGTTCTGGGATCTGAACTCAGATCCTGCAGTTGCACAGCAAGCACACCCAAAACATTTTTTTTTTTTAGGTTTGTTCATTTTGTTTGATGTCTGTGAGTATTTTGCTTGAATGTATGTGAAATGAAGTTACATTCATGTGGGTACTGGGAATAGAACCTGAGTCCTCTACCAGAGCAGTCAGTGCTCTCAATCACAAAGCCATCCTCTAGCCCCAAAGAACAAGCCCCCTTAACCACTGAGCCATCCCCTTTTGTCACAAATTTAAAAACTTTTACCACGAGCAGTCCACCCAGATGAATAATATCCTTGATCTACCTTGTAGAGTTTCTTTTAGGGGATATTGGCAATGCTGATCAGCTCTGTCTATGAAACAGGAAACTGCCCTAGGTGTGTAGCTTATTACAGTGTGGCATGCCATGAGGCACTAGCAAGCCACCCTGTCTAGATGGCCAGCTGTAGAAAAGTATTTCCTTCCCCTGTACACATTTCAAACACTGATTGACAATATTAATTCCTTGCCAGGTGCATATTTTTTTTCATTTTCTTTTTCTTCTCAATCAACTCCAAGTTTTCACATTGGGTAACTTTGTAATTTAAACTGGAACTACTCCTCAAAATATTGATGGAATCCTGAATTCCTTAGTGTAGCCTATGTCAGATTCCATTAGCACACCTCAGCTCAGGTTTAATTGGGATTTCAGCTGCTTGAGAATCTTTTTAATGGCCAGATATTTAGTTGCCTTTAGTTCCCCAACCTCAAAAAAAATCTCTGCTTATATATATATATTTATTATTATTATTATTATTATTATTATTATTATTATTATTATTATTATTATTTGAGCCAGATTTCCTATACCAGAATTACTAGTTTTTAATTTTGCTACAACTTAATGTTAAAGAATAGGACATCCAATTGCAATTGAAATTATGTGATTAGAATATTTCTCACTACCCTTTTGCCTCTCGGTAAACATTTGCAACTATGTAGCTTTTTAGAATTAGGTTATTTTGTTTCCATACATGTTAAAAGTGGTAAAGGAAACTTTCAGACTGTTGAGGTCAATGGCTGCATATTGGGTATTTGCTATAGATCTAGTTATGTCAAAGGGTAGGTTCAGATGGATAGAGGAAGATTTAGGAGACTGTCCTGAAAACGATTTCTAAAATATATGACAAAAATGATTAAAAATGGGCTTAAAATTTGGCATAAGGCTACATTGAGGTTAGATGTTGCAAACTTTATGATCTGCATGTAAAGACTAATTCTTACTAGTTACCCTTTTCAGAAGTAATCTGGGAGTATAGCTGTTACCTCTGCTAAAAGGCACTGAATGCCTCAGACTGAAAACTAAACATACATTCAGCTGAACTCTTAAACAAAACCAAAACACTCCTTGAATCTGGTTTTATGAATTGTTCCAATATCGGGGTCTCTGTAAGCTACCAAAGCTTTAGAACATAAGGTGTTTTCAGAAGTTCTGGTTTGTTTCTTTTGTTAGCATTTCAGATTTTTGATGTTAACATTAAGGTTAATCATGAGGTAGGAAGCTCCTACCCATAAAGGCTGCAGTCAAAGGCTCATGGGTAGTGACACAGAAACAGGCTAAACTGCTTCATTTTGACGTTAAACTATTTTTTCACATTCATTCCAAGGGTAATTCCTGATTCTGGATGGCATGTCCAACTTAGCTATCTCCATATGAATCTGTACATGCCATGGTGTCATGGTCAGGGTTACTATTGCTGTGGTGTCTTGTGGCTCACATTTTCACATCACAGTTCATCATCAGAGGTGATCAAGACAGAAATTCAAGCAGGGAAGGAACCTGGTGGCAGGAGCCAATGCAGAGGCCATGGAGGGTGCTGCTAACTGGCTTGCTCAGTCTGATTCCTTATAGAACCCAGGGCCTGCAGTCCATGGATGGCCACACTCACAATGAGCTGGTCTCTCTCACATCGATCACCAATTTTAAAAATGCTCTACAAGTAAATCTTATGGAGGCATTTTCTCAATTGAGGTCACCTCCTCTTAGATGACTATACCCTTTTTTTTCCAAGTTGATATAAAACCAGCCATGGATTTATCAACTGATCCCTCAATAATACTCAGCTTCCTGGAAGGCAAGGAAGGAGAAGTAATTTAATTCTGCTCCCCCACATGAGATTAGAAATTGTTCAGTCAGCTGGACAGTGGTGGTGCACACCTTTAATCCCAGAACTAGGGAGGCAGAGGCAGATAGATCTATGAGTTTCAGGCAAGCCTGGTCTACATAGTCAGTTTCAGGATGGCCAGGTCTAAACAAAGAAATTGTTTTACTACTAAACAAGGAAAATAGATATTGACAATTAGTTCCCATACCTTAAATGTAACCATTCCTGGTTAAATGTACACATTGATGGTATATGTTAGACCAAGCTTATCTTGGTTATCTATTGCTATGTCTTTTCAAAACCAAAATTGCTTCTCAGAAATGAAAATGTATAATAAAGACAGTGTTGGTAATAACTCACCGAAGCTATTCTGGCTCTTCTAGCTTTAAGGAAGTGTCCAGAAAACAGTGACCTAGGTTTCATAGCAAAGATTTTTCAAGGTGCCATCTTGTCCAGCATCTTCAGAAGTTCTGAGAGCTTGTCAGAAATGCAGATTCTCAGAGCTCACTCTAGACCTGAGTTAGAAACTTTGAGGATGTGGTCCAATAGTCCATCTGATACATGTTCCTGTTGGAGAGATACTGCTACATGAAGAGTACAAACCCTAATCTCAGAGCAGCAGATTTGAGGTAGTGCAATGCATGCATTTATTTTTATGTTTTTAGAGTCTTATGTAGCCTACACTGACCTCTAACTTCCTATGTAGTTGAGGATGGCTTTGAATTTCTGATCTTCCTGCCTCCACCTCTCAAATGCTGTGATTACAGGTGTTTACCACTATGCTTGCTTTAACGAGGTGCTTGGGATTAAACCCAAAATGTTGCACATGCTAGGCAAGTACTCTACCAACTGAACTACATCATCAGTGCCTTTCATGAACTTTCTTATCGCTTTCTTGAAAATAAATGTTTCTGAACAAATGTATTTTGTTAAGAAATTTTCAAAGGTGGTGGTGCACACCTTTAATCCTAGCACTCGGGAAGCAGAGGCAGATGGATCTCTGTGAGTTCAAGGCCAGCCTGCTCTACAAGAGCAAGTTCCAGGAGAGCCTCCAAAGCTATAGAGAAACCCTGTCTCAAAACCCCCTACCCCCCCAAAAAAAAGAAAGAAATGAAAGAAAATTTCAAAGGCAAGCACATAAATGCAAGTATGTCTAATGGGTTTGTGTTTACAATATATTTTAAATGCTTAACCTTCAGGGGGAATAATAATTCATAGGCAAGATATAAAAGTAAGAATAGCACCAAGAATTCTTCTATCAGCTTTAACCTGGATGTACCAACTGCTAACATTTTACTGCCTTGGATTTTTTATTTGTGAACACATTCCATTCCTTATTTTTATCTGAACCCTCTGATGATAAATTCCATAGACTATGGCCTATTTATTCCTAATGCTTCAGTTCTTAACTTCTAAGAATAAGAACATTCTGCTACCAAATCTTACTGCAGTTTTTAGCTTGAGCCTATTTAACATAGCTAAAGTACATTTATATTCTCTGATATCTGCAGTGAAACTTTTCAACAGACCAAAAATGACATTCATAAAAATATTATTTCTCCTCCAGTATACGTTTCCATCAGCAATTATATAACATATCCGTTCATCATACTGTGGTGATATCTTGCTTGTACAAATACAGCTTGTTTGAAGTCAGAAGACGGAGCTTGCCACTAGCTAATCATAGAGTTCTGGATATCTGTACAGACAGACAGAAAGGCAGATAGCTGGGTGGTGGAGAGAGGATATAGGCATGAAAAAACAGGAACTCACTCTTTTCCACTGGGAAGCTAATGAGGTAAAGGAGACTTTGGCTTGCTTCTTCTCTCTGATCTCTCAGTATTTTCCTCTACATCTGACTCCAGGTTTTTATTATTTAGACCAATTAAGAATTACATTTATACCATACTTCTTTCATTTCCTTTCATCATTTTACAGCTCTCTTTTGTTTTTTAACAATATACATTTTTTGAAGAATATAGTTTTATATGAAATAGAATATCCATCATTTTGGTTTTGCTAGCTGTTTTGTCATTAGACTCACTTTATATAGTCTAGGTTGGGAAAACTGCATCCTCTGGATGCCATTTCTGGATGCATATGCACAGCCAATGATTTTGAATAAAGAAAAGCTACTGGGCAGAATTGATAACTTAAAAAAAAGTAAGTGCATGCCATCTTATTTTAGTTCTGAAAAAATTAAGTGATAATCAGCTTTGAGGAAAACCTTATTTTGTATTAGTCATCTTTGAAAAACAAGTAGTTACACTGTACTAGAAGGTGGGCTGAATATTTCAGCCCTATCCTATAATTTATTTGCTATTTGAGGGCAGAGCAAAGGTGAAAGATGTAACTGAATATGTTGTGTATGCATGTGTGTGTGTGTGTGTGTGTCTGTGTGTCTGTGTCTGTGTGCATGTAATTTCAAATGCTGACATTGTTGGTATGGAGTTAAACTATAGATCTGCAGGAGGCTCAGGCAGTGGTTGTCATTTGATATTCCAATGAACAGAATATTGTCCTCTAAATGTACAACTTGAAAAGATTCATTAATTTGATCATTCTTCACCTTAAATATGTATTACATTTCAATGCACTGAAAATATTGATTTTTTAAATTCTGTATTTTTGTTGATGTATTGTCCAATATTTCTCTATATGGAAGTTTATAAAGTGTTTATAGGACTCAAGTGAATCTACAAGAATTTTAGAAAAACTTTGAATTTTTTACAGTGTATGAATTTGTTGAAGAATGACTAGAATATGTTTCTCTGTTGAAAACACTGCATTGATTTAAAAGAATTCTATTGTTATTAAATTAATGAAAACATTTCAATATTTTGCCCCAATTTAAAACTCTGGGATACAAGACCAGTGAGGGAGCTGCTTAGCAGTGAGGGTGTGTGGCTGGCTGTGTGAGGGTGTGTGGCTGGCTGTGTGAGGGTGTGTGAGGGTGTGAGTGTGTGTGAGTGTGTGTGAGGGTGTGTGCCTGTGTGAGTGTGTGAGGGTGTGTGAGGGTGTGTGAGTGTGTGAGGGTGTGTGAGGGTGTGTGGCTGTGTGAGGGTGTGTGCCTGTGTGAGGGTTTGTGAGGGTGTGTGGCTGTGTGAAGGTGTGTGGCTGTGTGCGGGTGTGAGTGTGTGAGGGTGTGTGCCTGTGTGAGGATGCCTCTGATCCTCCACATGCAGATTTAGAGAAAGAAGTACAGCATGCAGATGTCAGTGCTTTCTGATACCTCCCTCTCTCTTTTCTGTTTTCTTTGTGTGTGTGGGGGTGTATGTGTGTGTGTGTGCGTGCGTGCATGTGTCTTTCGTCTGATCATTTGTCCATCCATTTGTCTGTCTGTATGTCTCATTTTGGCCCACTCTGAAAGGCACAATAAATAATTTTTCTAGATTAGAGATTAAATCATTAGGAGTTAGGGAGATGGCTCAGTGGTTTAAGAACCTTTGTTGCTCTTACTGAGGACTGGATTCTGTTCTGTAGCCCATGTAGTGGCTCAACCATCTGTAAATCTAGTGCTAGGTGCAATGAATGTCTTCTGCACTTACTGAGCAACACACATATACTCAAGCACACATACACACATCACATACACACATACACATACACACACATACATACATCACACGCAGACATAAATTAAATAAACGAATCTTCTAAAAAGGAGAAATAGTTATGAAGCCTCATCCTGTCTCAGAAAAACATGTATCTACTTATTCTAGATTTTAAAAACAGAAGTTATAACTGTAATGTATTTTGTCTAGTTGTGGTGTAGCCTTTTACTCACCTGTGAAAAGCTTCTAGGTTAGCAGTGCACAGGGGTTTTACTGCAAAGATCTACACCAGGAAAAGGACTTTGGGTTTTGCTGCAGGAGTGGGTGGGTCCTGAGCTATTCATTGGAGCACTGGGATGTGCTAGGATCACAGTGTTCTCTCTGGACTCAGGTGTCCATGGTCACCTTGGTCATGCTGGGAACACCTGAGGCTCCTTAGGAAGTAGCCACGTTGCCAGCAGTGATCTTTGTGGCTTGCTTGCCTGGGACTGAGGACACTATTTCGGTCTTGTTCAGTGGGCTCATTGCTTCCCTCAGAGGCCCATTTCACGTGCACATGTCCCCTTGTCCTTGTCTTCCACAATTAACCCACCCCTTAATTTCTGTGCCTGTCTCTTTCCTTGTCTGTGGTCCTCTCGCCTTCTACTCATAATGCACTCTTATCTCTCCTTTTCTTGTTGTAATATAGCTGAGAAGAGTGTGAGCCAGAGGACAGAAGGGAGGGCAAGGGAGTAGAAGCCCTCCTTTACCCTCCAAGGAACACAGTATTCCAGAGGACACTTCAGCTCCTTGGCATGCGACTCAGGCTGTTTCCAATTTATTGCATTTTAATAGCCCTGGCATTCTCAAAAGCCCACTCCATCCATCTTTAGCACAAATTATATTCCTGTCATCAAAAATTGATGTTGACAAATGTGCATAATCAAGTGGCTGGAGGGGCCACTAGGTCTGGCTCATTTATTTCCGAACTTCTAAGGGATTTGAAATTAAAAAAAAAAAAAGTTGTTATTTTTTATTTTTCTCTGTTGCTTTCTCCCCCTCCCCAACCCCAAAGCAGAACCTTTGTTATAGATTTCCTTTTAAATTATAACATAGCAAACAGAAGGTAGAAGGACACAAAACATCTACAAACCTGCTGCTATGTACCAGGGATAAGGAACCCGGAATCCAGGGGTCTATGTAGCATCCTAATTCCTGTCTCTCACCTCTGTTCAGGCTGGTTACATGTCTGGAATGCTGGTGCCTGTTGGGGTAGGGATAGCTGGAGCCTTGTTCATCTTGGGAGCACTCTACAGCATTAAGGTTATGAATCGTCGAAGAAGAAATGGCTTCAAAAGACATAAAAGGAAGGTATGCAAGAAACAAGAGCAAACCTAACCAGTTGCAGAGAATTCTTCACTGCTTGCCTAATTTGTCTGATATGAGTACAGTGGATTTAATGGTGCAAGAAAGACTTCTTCTCAGCCTGTTTTATATTAGCTGCTCCCCTGTTCTTTAGAGTAGGTGTTCTTGGTTTTGCACATCAAGTGTTTAATGCTTTCCTGTTTTTTTTCCCCCAGCAGAGAGAATTCAACAGCATGCAAGATAGAGTGATGCTGTTAGCCGACAGCTCTGAAGACGAATTTTGAAATGAACTTGGGTTTAATGCAATGAGATTATTGCTTTATTTTTTATTTGGGAGCAAAAACAAGGAAGAAAATAAATAAAAAACAAAAAAAAAAAAACAACAATATCTCGCCACCTTGCTGCTACTTGGCCATTGGTCCAGCCCTTTTCTCTGCTGGAGAGTAGATTTTTCTTGTGCTGAGCAGAAAAACCACCTGTACAATCAACTCAGCATGGAGTGTTTAGTTATTCTGTAGTGTGTTTGTTATCACTGAGGGCTGTGATTTAGAAACACAAAGTACAGTTCAGTCTTTGTAGCTGGGTTAGGAAGAGTAAATATCTTGCATTTTTTCCATCACATTTTACTTGGTTTGGGTTACTGGACTGAGGTGAATGCTGTTACCATGAGAGCATCCTTGATTTTGATAAGCAATGACTAAGGAAAAATAGTAACTTATCATAACCCTCCTATAATTTTTGGCATGTGGGCATCAGAGTACACTGTGTCTGCATCAAGGACTAGTTACCACTTGGAATGAAATGTTTTCCTGAAATATCAAAGCCAATTAGGGTTATGTGAAAGTGTGTATATATCTTGCATTAAACATTCCAGAATCTTAGTTTTTACTTTTTCTCTCTATCTTAGTCTCACTCTTAATAAGAAAAATTGCACTAGAAATTGTGCATTAAATGAGCCCTTGACCTTAATTTAAGCTTGCTTTCTTAAACAGTATTAGTCCAATGGGTATGATGAAAAATTCATATTTGCTTATCATTTCAAAATATTCTTTTAGTATATTACTGAATTAGCTGAGAAGATAAAAGAATGACATCAAGATGCGTGTGTGTAGGCTCTCAGGGTGCTTGCCCCTGCCATTTGGTTTTATGTTTATGTGGCCATTACTGTGGATAAGTCAGCCCATCACTTCCAATGTCTATGATCTTGCTGTGGAAGGAGTCTTTTTGGCTTTATTAGAACAGGCAGGCATTCTTTGGCAGATGGTGGCCCAGTGGCCAGAGTCTTCATGTATAAACGAGTTCTGGCCATCCCTTGTGTGGGATGATGGGCTGTTAGAGCCTTTCTCATTTTCCTTGGAATGCAATTCTTTCTTCTGTACCAAATAACACATTCAAACAGCCTTGTTTGAATCTGGTTATTTGGAGTTGTAGTTCATTGTATTTAGCAGTATGGCTTGGATCAGTTCCAAGGATAGACAAAGCTTACCAATAATGCTGTTACCATGGAGAATTTTTTCACAGACATTAGAAACTATTCTAGTCTGACAGAATCTGTTTATTTACTACTCATAGCTTCTGGGTAAGGAAGAACATATATTATTCTTCCTTTTTACTGATGATGGAATGTAAGTAGAGGAGAGAAAGAATTAATCATCAGTTACATCTATAGACTCGGCATGAGGACAACCTCAGACACAAACTATGTACTTCAAGTCTGCGCCTTTCCCTCCATGCTTTGAAAGGTATTAGGACATTGGAAGGTCCTTCTTTAAAACCTATTTGGTCAAGGAACATTTATCAACTTCTTTGTTAAATGAATGGAGTTTTCACACAAGTTCTTCCCTCCCACATGAAATTAAGTATTATCTCTAGGGAACTAATAGGGAAAATTTCATGGAATGCATTTTTGAATGATGGCTAGCTCACACACATACAAAAATGTTTTAATGAAGTAATTTTTAACTCTTTTGGTCAAGAAAGCAACTGTGTAAAGCTGATGGACAGAAATGAAAAGATACATGGAGACAAATAAATGCTAGCAGTTTCTAAATTTGGTTGGACTCAGATTTTTTAAAAGTAGAATTTAAGTCATGACTATCATTGACACATCACAGTCCCATTAGGAAAGTGCCTTGATTCTGAGTAAGTGATGATTTCTAAGAGCAGTTTGTTGCCATGTTCCTTGGACTTTAAGCAACTGAGCATGAAGACACATTGCTACCTGAATTCTTGACAAGATGCACATAGTAAACTAACAATAGGTTTTCTTAATTCAAGGCATGTACGTGATACTGATGGTCAGCCATGCCTAGCTAGGGCTACTCAATCTGTAGCTTTAGCTCAGGGCTAATAGTGCCTCTTCAAACTGTTGTATAAAAAGATCAGAAGTAGCAGTCACAAATTCACAGTAAAGATGACATGTGTCCTTTAACAGCTATCTCTATATCCCCTTCAACACATGTGACCATGTACAGAAAAGGGATTTACTTAAATCACAGCAGATTTCTGAACAAACCTAGTTAACAGTCTATATAAAGAAATGTGGTATACACTAGACTATTAGTCAGTGCTTAAAATAGAGGAAGAAATCCTGTTGCTGTGTTGTGGATGTTGGAGGACTGTCTGCTAAATTAAATAAACCAGACACATAAGAAGTGCTGCAAGATTCTAAAGGACATGAATCATCTAAAGTGGTCAAATTCAGAAACCTGGGTAGAATGATGGTTGCCAGGGATGGGAAAAAGAAGATGAGGGAGGTATGAGGAAAGTGTTGGTCAGTGGTATGAAGATCCAATTATAAAGATGAATAGGTTCTAGGCACCCATTGTGCAGCATAGCACTTACGGTTAATAATGCTGTACTGTACAGTGTAGCACCTACAATCAACATTGCTGTATTTTTAACATGAAATTTTGTTAAGAAAGTAGGTCTCGTGTTAAATGTTTTTACCATAAGAATAAAAGATGAAGGAGAGCAGGACAATGGGAAGGGACATTTTCCCCAGTCATCCTACCCAACAAATCACACCTGCCATAGTAAAGAAAAGAAAAGCCAAGATAAATGAAAGAAGAACTAGGAAAAAAGAAGAAAAAGAAGAAAAAAAAAGAGGGGGTGCTTTTGGTTCCCTTTTCTATAATCAGAAGATAATATTTTTATTTTGAACTTCTTTGATTTTTCTCTCTTCTGTGAGCTGCTTCTTTTACTAGCTGCTGGCTGAATTTAAATGCAATATTTAGAGTTAACTAGTATTCCAGAGTAACATATTCCCTTAGCAATGCCTTATCCTTGACTGCAATTCATATGTTATGTTAGTGGTACTTTTCCAGAAACTTAGGTAAAAGTACCTATATCTCTTACACAGGTCAAAATGTTGTGAGGAAAATTTTAAAGCACGGTTTGGGAATATATTTAAACATATTAGTTATAACATATTGGTTATATATTACTCAATTCTAAAGCAGTCCATCATTTCATTGATTTCTTGTTTTGTTTTATTTTATTTTTTGTGGTACTGGGGAAGAAACTCATGACTTCATGCATACTAAGCATTGCCCTCATTTTAAAACACACACACACTTGATTTCCACCTTTCTCATCAAATTATACTAGGAGGAATGAATATGGCCAGGAAGGAATTGAAGTCCAGGATGAATGGGGAGATGAAGGTGCTTGGATTCTTAAACTGAGCTTAAGCTCCAATAATTGTCTTCCTTAATTACACAGACTTGAAATCATTGACAATAAGCTTTTAGGATGGGAAGTAAATTGAAAAAATAATTATATTAACCTAATACAATTAGTTTAATATTTGGACATGTTTGCATATTACATAATAGGTCTCATATTTGGACATGTAGCACAACATAGTACACACGACTCTTTTGGGGAGAGGAGCTACTAAACCAATAAGCTGGAAGGTACTAAGGAGAGACATTTCATTATGTTATTCTGTTAATTACAAATCTCGGCAGTCAACATGGCTTGAAACATCAACTTGTTTAATTTTACTCATATGGAAGCAGGGATATGCATGTCATATGAGTAATTTTTGTTATGCAAATGTCCAGTAAGAGAAACAGAAAGGGAGGGAGAGAAGGAGGGAAAAGAAAGAAGAGAGGAGGAAACAGCAGCACACGTACAAAGACAATTGTCTACTTTCTTGCTGTAGTTTACTCAAAAGCTCAGGATGATATTAAGATGAACTATGAGATCTTTCCCTGAGTAAAGCAAACATCTTACTGACCTTCCTCAAAAAGCAGCAGGTGTATTAACACAGGAGAAAGCCTCAAATACAATACACTATAGAGAAGCAGGTGCTTATATACTTAGCAAGGTAGAATGTAAGTTCTCACCTGAGACTATAGTCTACAGCTAAGATGTTGATATTGCTAAAAGATATAATGTTTTATGGGATGGGAGTTGAAAACCTGAGAGGGAATAGAAAAGAAAATCTAATTTATATTATCTCCATGAGAAAATTCACTTTTCTCTTCCTTCACAATTTTCACAGGTGTATAAATACAGTAGTAAAGTGGCAAGTTAAGCTGATGAACTGTATTAAGTTGTTACCATAATCAGGAGAGGTCATACATGAGTATCAAAGTAAGAGAGTTGTTATCAGGTCAAGAAACTGAGTGTTTTTATGCACTCTGGAGCCCAACATTTTTTTCTCAAGTAAAATAAGGAACAAAAAAACATTGGAAATGTTTCTTTAATTTTATCGAGTGAGGCAAGACAGAAATAGGTCCCTAGAAGGTGGTAAGAACAGTCTTCCAAGAAAGAATTGTGATACAAAAGCACCACTTCTCATTTCCTTATTTAAGAGATAAAGACAAGGGGGTGAATACAAAAAGACTTTATAATTTAACTGATTAGATATCATTTCAAATGTCCCCAAAGCAATAAGAGACCTAGGATTTATTCCCCACAATAAATGAACAACTAGCTTAGCATTCTGTATCAAGAGAAATGAAGGTAACTAGAAATTTTCTCTTTAGTGAGAGTACTGGGTAGCATCATTTCTTTCTGAATCAGCATCCCTTGGATACCACGTGGAAGCAAGAGTAGGAAGGTGTAGTAGTACACCACTAGAAAGAGTTTATAGATTAATGGGGGATGGGTGCTAAAATAACAATTTCTCAGATCCTTGGATCCAGAAAATGAGTATTCAGTCATGCCGAGGAAGATCAAGGAGTTTTTCTAGAGTGAGTAACATCAAACCTGAGACCAGAGGATAAATAAAGGTTAGTGAAGTATCAAAGGAATAAAGGAGTGTGCTTTAGCTAAGAGGACCAGAGTAGGTGAACGAACATGGGAAATTCACCACTCAGAGAATGTTTAGA